TTACCTTGATGAAAACCCAGAAGTCAATAATTTAAATATACAATGAATAGATAGTTCCATTAAAATTCCACTGTGACAGTAACGCTCTGGATACTAATCCTTAAAGAGTTTAAAGACTTGGTTTTTACTCTGCTACTCGGTAGTTGAGTGAACTTAGACAAGTCATTTAATTGTTCTAACTTCTGATTCTGTCATGAGGTTGCTATAAAGACAGAATAAAATAATGTATGTATACACACCTAATTAAAGCCCATTTCTTAGAAAGTGCTTAATATGTAATCACCATTAATCTGAATTCAGTCAATGCTTACATGAGAAAATGCATTAAAACTATTTTACTGAGTTATGATTGACATATAAAAAGCTGTACATGTTTAATGCATAAAATAATGAGTTTAGAGGTAAGCTGTACATCTATGAAAACATCAGCACCATCAAGGCCATAGACATATACATCAGCATCAAAAGTACTTTCAATCACAGGTTAAGACAGTTTTTTCTCCTTTGAGACAGAGTCTCATTTTGTAACTATGAGGGCAGTGGCATCACCATAGCTCACTACAACCTCAAATTCCTGGGCTCAAGCCATCCTTCTGCCTAGCCTCCGCAACAGCTGGTACTCTAAGGCACCTGACATGATGCCCAGTTAATTTTTCTATTTTTACTAGAAACAATGTCTCACTTTTGCTCAGAGTGGTCTTGAACTCCTGAGCTCAAGAAATCATCCTGCCTCAGCCTCCCACAATGTTAGTATCACAGGCATGAACCACTGTGCCTGGCCTAACACAGTTTCATTACATAGAAACTTAGCATCCAGTAAGAGTTCCACCACCGAGGAACTTCATTCACTCATTCATTTGTTCAATGATTGCAAATGTCTTGAGTGCTTCCTACGGAGAGGAAGATGTAAAGAGAGATATAGGTATGATCATTAATCACTATGAGAAACTTACTGAGAGGCCAGACATCAGTCTCGCAAAGTACATGATATATAAAACAGGACAAGACATACAATACAGTCTCAGTTTTCACTGTTTATATGTATATGTGGTATTGGAGTTCCCAGAATTTGAGGGTACCAATGAAGGATATATGCGTTTGTGTGTATACATATATATACAGTTAAGTGCTATAATGAAAATTCTAACAGAGACGAAGGCTGAGTACCCAAGGAATGAGCAGCAACTTAAAGTTATATGGTCCACAGAGCACAGTCAAAAAAAGAAATGTATGCTCCCCGAAATTAGTAGAACATTCTTTATTTTTTATTTTTATTTTTTTTTTTT